GACACCTCGAACCCCGGGCCCGAGGGACCGCCCGCCGCGAACTCCCCGCAGGGGCTGCGATGGGGCCGGAGCGTGGGACCGGAGGCGCCCGGGCTCCGCGCTCACCGAGTATCCGGACCGAACCCTCGCAGGACCCGAGGCCGGGATGGGCCAGGAAGGCCGCGAGCCGGGGATGCGCTTCCGGGGCCCCGGCGGCGGCGGCCTCCCGACTCCGCACTCCCGTCAGCACCACAGCCCGGGCGAGCCAGACCGGAAAAGGAGGCACGTGTTATGAGGTCGTGATCATTTTAAAAAATTAAGTAAAATCGGCTTTTAACTGATCAATTACATGGTGAGAAAAATACTTGTTTCCGCCCGGTTTCGAACCGGGGACCTTTCGCGTGTGAGGCGAACGTGATAACCACTACACTACGGAAACGCGCTGGCGGCTGCCTTCCAGGGGCCGCTGTTCCTCACTCCGGCTCTGCTGGCGGCGCTGGGTGCGCATGCGCGGGAGCCTGTGGTGGCGGCCCCTGCCTGTGCGCATGCGCGAGCGCCGGTGCGTGCTGCCCTGTCCTGTCATTTTTTACTGGAAATGCCCGGATGGGGGAGAACAAAAGAGGGGCTCCAATCGTTACCTGGAGCCTATCATGGTTGCTTCTCAACACGAATTTGCACATTTTAATTGCTTCCCTTTGCCTAAGGTTCCTTCCAACCACCGAGCTTCCCCGGAGTGACTGGCGGGGCGGGCGCGCTGGGGTGGGGGTGGGGGACGCGGCCGGAGTGGGTCGCGCGTTATGGGGCCGCCGTCGGCGGGAACTTCTCCTGCAACAGCCCCTCCGGCTCCTCCGTGGTCGGCGGAGGGAGAAGCAAAATAGAGCTGCGCCCACCGAGCCAGCCAGGAGTCGAACCTGGAATCTTCTGATCCGTAGTCAGACGCGTTATCCATTGCGCCACTGGCCCGCGCGGAAGGCAGGGGCGGCGGCTCGTCTTCATCAAAGTCAGCCGGCCGGGCCGGGGAAGCCGGCGGTGCGCGGTCCCCGGGTCTGATCCCTCCCCGCTCGGGCCCTTCTGAGGCAACCACCTGCCGGGAGCACACGGTCCAGGTGCCTGTCCCGCACCGACAGGGGGTTGTAATCTGATCGATGGAGCGCCTGAGTTAATCTGAAAAGTAGCCATAGTGATCAAGTCAAAACCGCCGACGTACAGCTGTGATCTGTTGCCTGTACTCATAATGGAAGGAAACGCCAAGTTTCAGTTGTCACTTGTTACTCAGTCAGAATCACATTCTCCAAGTCACAGCGACCCAGTTTTCGGTCTCTCTCGCAGCGATGGAAACGGCGCTGTCCGCACCTCCACGTGTCCTTACAACATGGTCGTGTCTGTGACCCCGGAACCTGCCCCTTCTGCGACCTCAGGTGATGGAACAGCCAACCCGAGGGCCCTTCCACGGCCCGGATGGTCAGCCTGAGACCGGAGCAGAACATAGAGCTCACACCCCGTTGGAAGTGGTGGCTCCAGGTCCCAGCTTCTCCCAAGACGGGCCCCCGGCCTGTGGCACAGCCCCCTCGACGCCCCGCATGTCCGTGCTTCGCCGGCCAAAGGGAACCCCAGCCCGATCCTGTGGGCTGGGCGGTCCTGAGTGTCCGCCGCTCGGCCACGGCCCATCAGGGTGGCTGCGCTGCTGATCATGACGCGGCTCCAAGGCCTCTGACCATATGATGCTCATCTTATAGTAAAGAAACAGGTGCTTATTTCATGGAGTTTCCATCCACCTGTGGGTTGAGTTCGTCGACTTTCAATCTTTTAACAAAAACAAGGCATCTGGCAGAGTCATGCTGCCCCTGTCACGTATGCAGGCGGAAATAAGTGCCTTATGGTGTGACCGAGAAATCCTTAAATATTGGGAGTTTAGAAACACATGTTTCAGTGTTATCACCATGACAACAGTCATCAAGCAAGACGGCCCCGCATAATTACAGGCTTCATTTGGGAGGAGACTTTCACAGCCATGGCGACAGTTTGTAAGCTGTTCGGAGTTTCACTACAGCTGTTTGTTCAGATTCACTTTACAAAGCAGAGGATAAGCTGGGAACCGCCACAAATACTCACACAAGCCCCCGTGCGAGAGTAAAGGTTCTTGTGAATGCTCTCAGTTTGACATCTTATCACAAGAGATCCTTTGGACAAGAAAGTGTCTCTTCCTGTAGCTTCAGAGGAGCGGGGATCGCTCTTTTATTTCTTTCCGAGACTAGGTTTTCATTGGGCAGCCTCTAGAACTGTGTAAGTTAACATTATAAGTTTTTAAGGTGCAGCTCTAGAACTGTGTAAGTTAACATTACAAGCTACAAGCAGCAGGTGGAACCCAAATTTACGGAAAGACCTGCGGTAAGGAATGACTGGAACTTTAATTAAAAACCGTGAGATAGAAAACATGCAGCTTGCCTCCCGAACGGACCTGTTCTTGGTGCTGAACCTATCCTTGGTGCTGGACCTGTTCTGGTGTCAGTGTCCCGGGACCGGAGGAGGCGTGTCTCCGCGTGGACGCGGCCGGTGCCCGCCCCTGGCCCTCTGTCCCCGCGCCCGCGCCGGGAGGCTCAGTTTCCACAGCTGCGCGGTTTCTTCCGTCTGCCGGTGTCCAGGCCGAGCCCTCGCAGGCCGACGCTCATCTTTCGCGTCTTGGGAAGCATTTGGGTTGCGCCTGACCCTGGCGGAGAAGAAATAAGTAAATGCACCCCATAAAATCAAAGATCTCTCTCTTTCCCCATCGATTTGGACGCGAGCCGGCGTGCTGGCTCCGTGGCTTAGCTGGTTAAAGCGCCTGTCTAGTAAACAGGAGATCCTGGGTTCGAATCCCAGCGGGGCCTTTTTCTTCCTTCCGGGTGTGGCTTTCCCCAGTTCAAAAGAGGATGGGTGATCGAAGTGAAATCCTAAGGGTAAATTTTCTCTACGGGGTTTCACAAAACTGTTTTACACGGGTCTGAGGATGGACTTCCTTGTTATTTACAAAAACAGCACGAAGATGAATTTGTTGTTCTTTTGAAGAAAATTTCCATTCTTCCTGTTTTTATATTTTTGTTCCACGTGTATTTTTTCATCAAGTACAAAAGGAACCAGGGAAAGCAGAAGGCAAAGTCACCGCATTTAAACTACAAGCTGTATAACCTCTGATCATTCTCTCGTCTTTCCCACCAACGCCCTTTCACACTCTGCAGGCAATGTTTTTAGAACGGAATGCTGGACACAGGTGCTGTGGAGAAGGCTGCAAACACCTCCGTTCATAGCAGCCACTGAAATCCTACCTTATATGTAACACGTGTAAGGGGCTGGGGTGTCTCGCTGCCTGTTCTGAGTTTATCAAGCTGCACACTGAAGATGGGCGGACTTTTCTGAATGAATGTGAGAGAGAGAGAGAGAGAGAGAGAGAGAGAGAGAGAGAGAGAGAGAGAGAGAGATAGATGAGTAGTTTCTGTGTCTACTAAGCCCGGCAAAGGGAGCACTTGGCACGGGGTTTCCACCACAGCCACTTCCGTAATCACACCTGAAATCACAGAATCCCTGACTCTGCCCCAGGTGATGAAGACAGGCTTTGGCAAGGCATTTGGCAAGGCGACACGTCTTCCCTTTTAGAAGATTCGGAAATAAAGCCAGAATTATCAAGACAATGTCCCCCAGGCACTGGCAGCTGTGCCAACCGGAAGGGGCGGTCCAGGTGCATCTGATAAGTCGGCTTCTGGGTGCTTCGTGCCCAGAGGCTAGGGCTGGGGAAGGAAGGACACAGGTGTTTCCTAAGAGCCTGTCACCTGCTCAGTCCTGGGCCTGGTGACCGTTTTCCTTGAAGGGGAAAAGGAAAGGGGTGAGGGGTGAGGTTGTGGCGCTGATTAAAATCTGTAACCGGTCCTCTTTGTACTCTCAGCAAGGGGTTCCTGTGGCAGCCTGTCTGTTCTGGGTGAGGTTTCACATACACATTTCAGGATACGCATTACACATTAAACCAGCAAAGCAACTGCCTGAGGTTCCCAAGTATTTTTTTTAAAGTTAGTTGTTTTCTTTCTTTGACTTTCTAAGAGCATAATTTGAACACAAATGAATACTTTTAAAGCAGGAATAAACCATGTTCTCCTCCCAGTGATACAGTGTGGGTGGGTGGCAGGCGGTGGGCAGTGTAGGGGGAGTAGTGTTTGAGGCAGGACGGGGAGAGGACACGAGACTCACACTCTATCCATTCGCGCGGCAGAGCTGGCTGGTCAGAGCCTCTGGAGGTGGCTGTGCCTGGTCCTTGCCTGGGGCGATGCAGGGGGAAGCAGGAGCCTCGCTGAACTACGAGGCCTGCAACAGCGGTTTCCTAAGGTCACCCAGGTTTGTTTGTTTGCTTGCTTCCCGATTCCAAGGCATTCCCATGAAAAGTTTTCCAAACGTTTCCTCCTTCTGGAAAAGTACTTTTAAAATTCCAAGACATGGCTTCACTCACGTGCACCAGAATCACCTTTTAGAGGTGAACATGGAGTCAGCACCCAAATGGGCTGAGGGCGGGCAGCCAGTGGGCACCCAGCCTTTTTGAGAGTCCCTGGGTTCTCCTGAGACAGCAGCCCCGGGGCTGCCTGTCAGGTGAGCCCACCCACTGCTGTCAGGCCCCGATGGGTCCTGGGTAAATAGAACCACAATGCTCAGTAAGCAACATGCCTTCTTTCCTCAGGGGTGTGTGTGTGTGTGTGTGTGTGTGTGTGTGTGTGTGTGTGTAGTATAGATTTTTATTGATGTCAGAGAGCAAGGGAGAGGGAGAGAGAGATAGAAACATCAGTGATGACAGAGAATCATCGATCGGCTGCCTCCTGCACGTCCCCTATAGGGGATCGAGCCCACAACCTGGGTGTGTGTCCTGAAGGGGAAAGGAACCGTGACCTCCTGGTTCATAGACTGCCGCTCAACCACTGAGCCACGCCGGCCAGGCCTTTCCTGTGTTTTTGTTCTGGTTCCACTCGTTGCAATAAAGAAAGGAAGGTGCAGCAATCAGACAGACTTATTTATTAGGTTAAGACCACGGGCGACATTGATGCTGAACGCAGGGAAAGTACAATCCGAGTAGGAGATGTGAGCGTGGACAAACGTGCAGCCTGTTGACCAGAGGAGCCTGGGGCATAAGGGAAATGTGAAGACAGACAGGAGCAGTCGGGCTCGCTGTGCTGAGCAGGGACACCGCAATCAGGGGACCCAAGGAGAAGGGCGTGGGAGGGAGGCTGTGTGGGGAGAGAGCGCACAGGCCACGGTTTGGAAAAAGGGAGCAGTTGATGCTCAGGGAAGGGGTGTGTGAGGGGTTACACAGGACATTGGGATGACGGCTGAGGGGGCACAAGGCTGAGATAGCGGCTGACGAAGTGGTGATATCCCTGAAGGACGATTCCTGGAACTGCCTCTGAGTGGGAGAGAGTCCAGATCATAAGGAGGAGAAGCAGAAACGATGGGGCCCACAGCGTGAGGGTGGAATGGCCCCCAGGCAAGGGAGCAGCAGGTCAGTGCGGAGAGGAACGGGGTCTGAGACACTGCTGTGCACACAACTGTCTAACATCCTCCTCCCTGTCCACCTCCTGTCCGACACCCTGGCCCTGCTCCTGGTGTCTCTCCTCTACTCCCCCCTCCAATCGCTCAGACTCCATAGCAGCAGGGCCCGTTTCCTCCGCCCTGTAGGACAAGCTTAGGTATTTGAGATACAGGCCCTGACATTGTAGGGGCAGGCCAGATGGTCATCCCTGGCCTACGGTCACTTTCCTCCATCCCAATGTCCCCTCCAGGTTCCTTGATGGGGTGTTAGCCTCGGGTCTTCTGTTCCCAGAATCCTTTGGAGTTTCTGCTTGCCTGTTCCTTCACATACCCCTCCTCTGGACACCAGGATGGTTGTCATCACCCCATGACCATCTAACCTGACCCCATCTCGATCCCTGAGCTGTCTGTTGAGTTTATTTCAAGTCCTTCCCTTTAGGATGTGGCCTCCAGGGGTAGGAGAACAGATGTCGTTAAAGAGTCACCTCCCTGGACCCTGACTATTGGTACAGAAACAGATTAGAAAGGTCCCACACCCCACATTCTCTAGCAGCAGCCACACAACCTTCCCAAGACTAATCCCTATCCAACAGGAAGCCACGGAGCTGGGTGAAGCCTGAGGGGTGAGGGTGGCAGAGAGGGGTGAGAGCAAAGGGAAGCAGCTAAGCTGGGCTCATCCCTAAGGTGCCCCTTGGTTGGCCTGGGTACAGATGAGTTTAGAATGAAATGTGTCTGTGTCCCCAGAGGCAGCATCCTCCCCCAAGGGGGACAGTGGAATCTCCTTGGAGGGGTCCCTGGCATCAGCCTCTACCGTGACTTCCTCCAGCCCATCTGTGACCGGGCAGATGGTCAGGGGCTTTTTGCCAGAGGACCACAAGCAGAAGAAGGGTCGGAGGGGGCCAGAGAAAGAGGCCTTGGAGAACGTGTAGATGTGGGACCCGTCCATCATGTTGTAGAAGGCAACGTCTCCTGAGTCATAGTCCAGGAAAATCCCAACCCGACGGGGAGGTCCTGCCAGGGGGAGAGGGGTGCGCAGCGGGGTGAGAGCCCAGTACCCGTTTCCATACAGCTCCACAGCCCAGAACCCATTCTTGGGAGTCATGGGGTCAAATCCTTTCTTCATCACGTCCTCCCTGCAGACCCCGATGGCCCAGTCGGTCCTATCCCCCACCTCCACCTCCCAGTAATGCCTCCCGGAGGTGAAGGCCTCCCGCCCCAACACGCAAGGCCAGGAGTCAAATCTCTCCGGCTTCTCGGGCAGTTTCTGACGTTCATCTTCCAGCCGCATAGACTTGGAATCCTCGTGCAGAAAGAGGTGGGGGTGGGCGGTGTCCGGGTCCAGAGTCACATCAACTAGACACGGAGAGGAAGTGAGTCTGAGCAGGCGTGAATGTGAGAGGCTGCAAGCCCTGTCCTCCCTTCTCCAAAGAGATAGGAGCTGGCAGGTCTCCTCTGAGGAGAGCTGAACTGTTCAGCCTGCTCAGCTGTCTCTATTCCCCTCTTCCCTCGACAGCCACAGGTGATGTACAAGCTGACTGTCCCCAGGGCCTAACACCCTGGCCAGACGGGCTTGTCTCCTATCCATCTCCCAGGCCACCGTGTGCCTCAAGGAAAAGTTGATGCTATTTGCCACCTTTCCCCCTCTCTATCCTCATCCCTAAAAAATGTTGGTGCTTTTGTTTCCAACTATTGTAGGACGTTGAGTCCCTGGGGGTTGAAGCCTTGGAGCCCTTGAGAGGTTGAGAGTCACTGACCTGCATGCAGTGTAGCTTTCTTCCACTCTGCAATGAGACAGAGAGAGAGACAGTCACTGAAAGGTTTTATAGGAGAGAGCGAGAGAGAGAGATAGAGAGGGAGAATCTTGAGGGTGAAATAATGACAAGAAGACAGAACTTACTGAGCTCTTTTAGGAGTTTCTCTGGAAAACAAACAGAAATAATGAATGACCTTCTATAGTGGACACGATGAGGCACACAAGGGAGTAGCTGTTACATCGTGACTACTCCATTACTGAAACATGATCAATGGTGAAGAACAAGAATTGTGTTGTTTTCTAAGTAATATGCAGGAAGTTCCTATTGGCTTGGATCGTATCTGTAGTCGTTACTGGGAAACCGAAGTCAAAGTGAGGATAGAGCCTCAGGGTGGGTAGTGAGCAAACTTCAGGTCTAATACCTGTTAGAACTGGTTCTGATTCCTCCTGCACCCAAACCTCTGTCCTTGCTCAGATCGAGTATCAGTGACTCCAGGAGCCCTAGCATCCCCTCTGACTTTCAGAATTCCAGAGTCCATATCTTCCCCTGGCAGCTATCCTACAGGACTTGGATCCAACCTCACTCAGACACACTCCTGACAAGCAGCCTGGATTCTATGACTTACCTGTAGAGCTGAATTCATCCTTCCTCCGCCTGGACCTTTCCTTGTATAGTCTCCAGGTGAAAAATATGGACCCGATGGTCAGAACTCCTAGGACCACTAATATGACAGCCACAGCCACCACCCAGGGAGTCAGCCTTGGGAAGAAAGGAGCTGAAACAAAGGACATTTGTTGCAAAACATTGAGCAAGTCCAGCTCCTCTTCTGGTTCCAAAGGGACTTGGAAGAGGGCATGACCTGGACCTCTCCCTCCCATTCCTTCCAGGGTGAAAACAGCCCTCCAATGCCACTCAGGCTTTTCAGGGGGAAAAAAAAAGATCTTAGGTAGGAAAAAGCAGAGAAAGACAGGAATGAAGATGAATAGGAGTCGTTTTGGGACAGAATAAGAAAAAAATGGACGAATTCATGTTGTTATGGAATTTCCTCCTTAATGATCAATGGAGGACCTGAGCCAAGGGCACAGGGAAGTAACCCAGGAAGGGGAAGTGTCACCTCTGGGTGCAACAGCACAGACTCAGTGACCCAGGGAGAAGGAACAGTTCCTGCCTGGACCAGAGGCTGTGTGTGGGGGACAATGAGAAGATTCACTTTCCTGAGGACCCTGGACAGAGCTCTCGCCTGGGATGGAGGAGAAAGGGGTGGAAACAGGAGGGCTTAGTCTTCTTGCTTGCTCAAGGAGTGGGTCTCGGGATCAGGAAGGCCTGCAGGGACAAAGCTTCTCTATCCAAGGTGCATCTCCTAAGAAAACCTGGATTTTCTACAAGGTCTTGGTACAGTTTATGTCTTCAGAATATTTAAAAAATATTTTTATTGATTTCAGAAATAAAAAGAGAGAGAGGGAGAGAGAAACATCAATGATGAGAGAGAATCATCAATCGGCTACCTCCTGCACACCCCACACTGGGGATCGAGCCCGAAACCCGGGCATGTGTCCTGACCGATAATCCAACCGCAACCTCCTGGTTCATGGGTCGACAACGCTCATCCACTGAATCTTGGGGCTAAAATCTTTACTCTGAGTGAAGTTGGTGGGGCTCCCTCATGAGAGTGGGCGGGATTTTAGGTGGAGAAAGTAGACTGCTCTGCCAGGAGGTCACGCTTCACAGAGGAACCCAGTGTTGGGCTCACTGACCTGGTATGAAAATGCCTACTTCCTTCTCCTGGCCGAGGAGGAGGTTCTGGATGCAGCAGGACACGTTCTTCATGGAGGGGTCCCTGATGGTCACGGAAGCCACCACGGTGAACAGTCCTTCTTCGTCGGGATCCCTGGACTCTGACGTGGAGGAGAACTCCTCTCCCGTGGGTGTCCTCCACTGCACCCGGGGCTCCGGGTACCACCCCAGCGAGGTGCACTCCAGCCGGGTCTCCCCGTTGTCTTGAAGGTCCATGTGGATGTGAGGATCAGAGCCCAGCGCTGTGGAGAGAGCAGCTGGTCTTACTCCTTCAGGGGACACCCTCTGGAGCCTTAGACCCACTGGGCGGCATAGATTGGGAAAGGGAAGCACTTGGGGAGGGGGAAGGGGGCTCCTCTCCATACTGCATCACACAAGGAACTGAGGGTCAACACAGGCTTTTCATAACCTCCTCAGAAAGGGGCGCCAGCCTGGAGGGCCTGGCTCACCGATTGAGCATCAACCTATGAACCAGGAGGTCAGGGTTCCTTCCAGGTCAGGGCACCCGCCCGAGTTGTGGGCTGATCAATGATTCTCTCTCATCATTGACCTTTCCATCTCTCTCTCCCTCTCCCCTTCCTCTCAGAAATCAATAAGCATATATTTAAAAAGAGACGCACACCTCCCGGGAGTCAGGGAGAAGGGCACGCGGTACTCACCGGCCACCCGCAGGCGCAGGCGGGCCTCTCCGTGGCCTGGGCCGTCCTCCCGCCGGAAGGAGCAGCGGTACTCGCCGTCGTCCGAGGCCTGGACCCCGCGGATCCGGAGCGCCACGCGGCCCTGGGCCAGGCCGTCCAGCACCAGCTCGGCTCGGCCCCGGTACCGGGCCAGCTGCTCGGCGTCCTGCGCGCGCCCGGCCCGGTGCACCAGCAACGCCAGGGCCTCCGGCTCCCGCAGCCACCGCATCTCCAGGGGCGCGGCGCTCAGGTTCGCGGGCAGGTGGCAGGGCAGCTCCGCGTCCGCGCCCACCAGCGCCAGGACCGGCTCCGCGGGCCCCGCCACGTCGAAGGGAGCTGCCAGGAACCGGACAGTTAGACTCCGGGACAGCCAGACACCCGGAGGGCCGAGGACGGATGGGGACCGGGCTCCCCGCCCCAGGGCAGCGTCCCTACGCCCATTCCTGGGGCAGCCCGCCCCACGACACCAGTTTGGGCCCAGGCTGAGCCTCCAGGGAGAACCGAATGGGGTCGTTTCTGTTTACCCTGCGGCCAGGGACAGAGGGGAGACCCACCTGCGTCCACCGGACCTGCGTGCAGCCCGCGCAGATGCAGAAGCAGGAGGGTGAGCAGACACCCCCCGAGGCAGGGGCTGGGGAAGGCGGCCATCACCCTCCTCTGCTGCAGTCAGTGGGGAGCTTGGCCTAGAAGACAAAGGGCAGTTCTTTCCCCCTCGGAGGCGCCAGGCCTTGCACAGTCCCCCCCATCCCCCACCCTGCTACACACACACCCCGGCCATCCGCCCACCCAACACCCTAAAAGAACACAATGGGCCCTACAACCCTGAGGAGACAGGAGGTGGGAGCTGTGAGACGGTGCCCGGGAGGGGAGCCTGTGAAGGAAGGAATCTTGGAAGCACTGTTCTACAAAACCCTCTTCTTCCAAAGGCAGTGACTGGTATTTGCTTTAGCAATGATGACAGAGATAACGCGATAGAGGCAGAGGTGGGTGCCCGGAACGAAGAGGAAAAAGAAGAGGTTGGAGAAGGACAGGGAAGGCGCTGAGAGAGCTAAGGGCGTGCAGTGCAGAGGGCCTGGGCCTTGGGAGGCGCCCGGGGCCAGAGGGAGGAACATGCCTCCTGGCTGAGCGGGATTTGGGCACCCACCTGGCTCCTTGGAGGAAAGGGCACCTGCCGGGCACTGCCACCGAGTGAGAAGGCTGGGCGCGCCCCGGGGCCAAGTTAAAGCCACAGAGGAGGAAGGGGCAGTGCCCTCAGGAGCGCCTGCCCCCACCCCATCCCCGACGTGTTTACTTTGGAAAGGAGTTTTCCAGCGACAACGGGAAGGGTCTGCTGCTCAGAGAACAGGGTCTACGCTGAAGCACCGGCTAACTAAATGGGCAGAGTGGACAGGGAAGGGGGCAAGAGAATGCTGGGAGGAGACGGGAACCTCCGTTTCTTCATCTCTAAAACGGGAATATGGTTAATAATAACCTTATTCAGAGAGGTTAAGCATGTAAAGCACAAAGCTTACAGTAGGGACATAGAAGAGGGTGTGACTTGTATTTTTTTTATTATTTATGTGGGCTGAGAATTCCAGGTAGGCTGTACGTACCTGTGTGTGATTCGGTTTTTAGGGCCCCAGGGTTGCCTCCCTGGGAGCAACTCATGAGACCTGCAATTCCTATTCGAGGTTAAGCCTCTTATTGTTATGGAAAAAGAATATGGGAAAATGTTTTTTAAAAAGTAGAAATCACCCATAATGTCACCGACGGATGATAACCTCTACTCACATGTTAGCATCTTCCATCCCAGGGTTTACTTTACGTGCACGTGCATCAGAAAACAGAACTGATAAGGCTTTCGCATAATTTGAAGGGTGGTTAACAGTTATATCATATTGTAGGTTCTTACAGTTCCCAAGACTGTGGGCATCTTGTTTTTTTTGTCTATTATACATAGTACATGTTACAAATAGGCTTTGTCCATATCTTTGATAACTTCCTGATATGCTTTCTGATCAATTCCAAGAAATGTAGTCATTGGGTCCAAGGCGATGAGCAGGCCGCCCAAGTTCCTTCCTGGAATGCTGAACCTGTCTCACTATCAACAGAACGTCCTCTTCACCTAACCCTGCCTGCACCACTGAAGTGGATCAAGCTGTGATCTTACCATGCTTTTATTTACTTATTTTTTAAAAATATTTTTATTGCTTTCAGAGAGGAAGGGAGAGAGAAACATCAATGATGAGAGAGAATCATGGATCGGCTGCCTCCTGCACACCCACACTGGGGATGAAGCCTGCAACCCTGGCATGTGCCCTGACTGGGAAACAAACCATGACCTCTTGGTTCCTAGGTTGACGCTCACCCACTGAGCCACGCCAGCCGGGTTTACCATGTATTTATGTAATAGCGAGGCTGGTCACTTTTCATATTATCCACTCAATATTTTTCGGAAGTGAGCTCTTCAGGCCAACCACTCATTTGTTTCCTAGACAGACACATTCTGGTGCTGTTTCATATCCATTTGTATGAGCTTTTTTATAAATTAAAGATGTCAGTTCTGTATTATATTTGTGGCAAAAATCCTTCATTACCACAGTTTAGTCCTGGACTTCTAATTGGGAATATGATGAAGACCAAACAAATGATTGACCCACCAGACTGCTAGGAGAATGACTTCCCAAATGCAAATCTGATTATTTCACGTTTTGCTTAAAAATCCCTACATATGCCCAGCTGGTGTGGCTCAGTGGTTGAATGTTGAACCATGAACCAGGAGGTCAGGGTTTGATTCCTTGGTCAGGGGACATGCCTGGGTGGTGGGCTTGATCCCCAGTGTGGGGCTTGCAAGAGGCAGCTGGGATCAATGACTCTCTCTCTCATAATTGATGTTTCTGTCCTTCTCTCCTTCTCCTTTCCTTTCTCTGAAATCAATAAAACATATATTTTTAAAATCTCTACAAATCTCCTTAGTGACCCCAGCACCAAGTTCAGGCACCTTAATCAGGGCAAGAAAATGCTGTAGGATTAAGTGTCCTGCTTCCTTCCTCTCCTCTATATTCTCCAAGGGCCTATACACCCACCAGAGGAATTTGGGTGGAGATGTGGTTGTCTCAACCTGCAACCCCCTCTCAGGCCTTAAGATGGTAGTGTTGTCTCCCTCTCCTCCCGGCTGCTGGCTTTCCATGAATGGTGGGGATGCCCTGGAGAGGGCTCTGGCTCAGGGTTTTGGGTTTGTCTTCTTTGCATGTGACCTAATCAAGCTAAGACAAAAGACTGGGTGAGGGCATCACGGAGGGCACTGTGTTCTGTGGCTCCTTACTCAGCATTGAGCCCGCTGCTCTTCCCGGGGGCGCACACTGTTGGAAGACTGGTAATAATCAGATAGGGCCCACTGCTAGGTTGGCATGGTAGCAATGACATCAATCCCCATTGACCAAGCCCGTGTTGAATGGATGTGCACTGTACACCTCGGAGTTCGTGTAGGGGAAGTGCCGGCAGGGCAGTGAGGAGGCCTGGGTGACGTGGTGACGGGTTTCTGTATGGAAGAGGGACTCTTGGGGGTGGGAGAGGTGCAAAGTGCCCTGGGGTCAGGCAGAGTGGGACTGCTGTCGCAATGGAGAATTCCCAGAATGAAGTAAAAGGGAGACAGGACCTCGGAGGAGCCAGTGAAGTGAGGTTGGAGTGAGCTTGCAGGGAGGGACCAGGGAGTCTGAGGCACCTGAGCTCCCCCCAGAATCTACCCCGTTGCAGCCCCTCCCTGCCACCTGGTGGGGTGAGCCCTCCAGGCAGGGCTACAAACCTTAGGGAATTTTAGGGGTGGGCCAGGAATTCATTCACCTTGCTTTCCTCTTGTGGGGCACTCAGGAGGCAGCCGATCAATGATTCTCATCCTTGGTGTTTCTATCTCCCTCTCCTTCTCTGAAATCAATAAAAATATATATTTTAAAAAACAAACAACAAAAACACACTAAAGTCCAGCTAAATACTTGTGGTTTCATTGTCAACCTGGGGAATTCACTTTGTTAGAATTTCCTTCTTCCTTTCCGGGCATTAGGGACCCTTCTCCTTGAACAACCCATTTCCAGTGGATTTTAGTGACTCGTGCTGTTTGTTCTTCCTGGGAAGCCCTCAACCCTGGTCTTCATCTGACCTGAGGCAGAGCTCACCCCGAGAACAGCCTTCCTGTGGGGTATTTCTTGAAAACAGTTAGTGGCGATTATTTAATTGGCATCTGCCCGAGATTTCGCACCTTCTCTCATGGGCAGATATGAGAATCCCGTCTCTATTAAAGCCAGACATCAGATTTGCAAAACAAATGGAACAACGCCACGCACATCACTAGCATTTATTTTGCAAACAAGTCATCTTTCACAAAAATATGTTATTTATGTCAACCTTAATCTGTTTACAGCTGTCATATAAATATAGATCGACAAACATCTTTGAAGCTGTTCAGTCCAATATAGCAAATATTAGCAGCAAAAATGAGCAAAAGCCCTCTGGGGCCTCGGTCATTTTACGTGAATAAAGGCATCCCGAGGCCAGGAAGCTGGAAACCAGCGACCTTGCGATGAACTGGCTCACTGCCCACCTGCTCAACTGGGGCCTTAATCCCCGGCCACTCTCCGCGACCGTGACCGGTACTGCCCCCTCGATTTTGGCGGGGACACCTGAGCCAGGCCCGATGCCTACGGATCCTCGTCTTTCATCCTGTGTCTACCTGTTTCGTCCTTTCAGCCTGGGAGCCTTGCTGTGTGGGCTGCAAACCGGGGGGGTGGGCGGGCTGGACCTGCAGGTGCTGGGACCCTGGGTCAGGCCCTCCCAGCCCGCCGTCCCGCTTCCTCATCCCTGACCTCCAAGGGTGGCTCTCCGTCCTCTCAGGTCCTGGGGCACCTGCTGGCCTCGCGGCGAGTCCACGGTGCCTGGTGTGGACTCGGGTTCAAGGCCACAAGCGTCACCTGATGCTACCGCAGCGGGCTCTCCGCCCGTCATCGCCCAGAACTTTCTTTGGTTGGGGGCCACCTGGAGCCCTGGTGTCCCCGGGACTGGCTCCTGCCCTCTGGTGACCAGCAAATGAGCTGCTGCAGCAACCGCCTCAGGGGGGAGACGGCCTGGGGCGCGGGGCCTCGGAAGGGGGTCTCCGATGTGACCAGAGCGGGTGCGTGGCAGGAGGGGCGGGCAGGGCTCCCCTACTCTCCTCCGAGGCCAGGGAACTGGTGGCTGCGCTCGGCCCCCGCCCTGTGCAGGACCAGGCCGCCCTCAGGCACCGGGACGCCCCGGGCCCCGGCGAACGCGGGGCAGATGGACAGGGCGCCGTCGTCAGAGCCCAGGCGGAAGAAGGGGCGCAGGGGCCCCGAGAAGGGCGCGCGCGGGCAGGTGTAGAGGTGCGCGCGCTCCCGCGCGTCGTAGAAAGACACGTCCCCGGCCTCGTAGTCCAGGAACACGGCCACGCGGCGCAGGCGCCCCCTCAGGGGCAGCACCCTCTCGGGCGAGGCCAGCGCACGGTACCGGCCCTCGAACATCTCCAGGGTCCAGAAGCCGTTCCCAGGGGCCAGCGGCCCCTCGCCCCTACGCTCCGCGCCGGCTGCGCAGACACCCACGGACCAGGCCATGGCGCCCTCCACCTCCACCTCCCAGCAGTGCCGGCCCCCGGAGAAGCTGGGGGCGCCCAGCACGCAGGGCCAGCAGGAGAACCGCTCGGGGGTGTCGGGCAGGCTCTGCCGCGAGGGCCCCCGCCGCACGCTCCTCCGGTCCTCGGACAGGAAGAGCTCGGGGTGCGCAGTCTCGGGGTCCAGGACCACGTCGGCTGCGGAGGAAGCCCCGGGTCAGGCTGCAGAGGCGGGGACACGCCCCTCCCCTGCGCTGGGATCCCCGGGAAGGGCCGGATCCCAGGCCCCGGGCGGCCCCAGGAGAGAACTCCCGACCTGCTCGTCCACCTGCGCGGGTGGCGCGGCCTCGGGTGGAGAACGGGCTCGGGGAGAGGCGGCCCCAGCGCGTGCGCTGCAGGGAGCGGTCCCTTTCTCTCCGCATCCTCCGCCCCCCCCCCCCCCCCACCTCTTTCTCGCCGGGACCTCTGACCTCGGGACTCTCCTTAGCGGGGAACTTGCAGAGACCCCGTCCCCGCCCCACCCCAGGGAAGCCATTCGGGCCGACCGCTCCCCGCACACACAGGGGGCAGGGGCCCGAATGGGTCCTCGGCGTCCGTCGGGTTAACCGGGTGGCGGCGACGTACCTGACGGACAAGGGCTCCCTTCAAAGGGCGAAGGAGGACAAGGCCACTGCCCCCGGAGAGGCGAGCCCGGCAAAGGGGGGGCACCGGTCCCACCGGCTGTGCGCTAACACCTGCGCCCAAGGGACCTCTCCCTGTTCAGGAGGTGCTGGACGGCGCTCCGCAGACCTCCCCACCTGCCCTTCCGTGACTGAACCGGCCGGCGTCCATCGTGTTAAAATGCCTTCTCCCTCCCCCATCTTGTATGTCCAACGGTGACAGTTGTGAAGTTCACCCAAAGAGCAAAGGCCCAGCCCTCGCTGTCTGGGCTCAGCGGATAGAGCGACGGCCTGCGGACTGAAGGGTCCCGGGTTCCAGCCGCATCAAGGGCAGATACCTTGGCTCAGGCTCGAACCCAGGCCCTGGTTGGGAGGTGCGTGTGGAGGCCACCAGTCGATGTGTCTCTCTCACATCGGTGTTTCTCTCCGTGTCTCCCCCTCTCCCTTTCACACCCTCTAAAGGTCAGTGGGAAAATGTCCTCAGGTGAGGATTAACAATAAATAAATAAACAAACAAACAAGGGCCAAGCCCCGTGGTGTCTGCTAAAACCTGGACTCTGGTGCCTTCAGCAGAGGGTGCTGAGTCACACACAGCGCAGGGAGCTCATAGGCCGCTGCGGGCTCCCACCTGCCCAGGCCCGGTCCCTGTGGGCTGCGCCCAGCATCAGGGCTCCCCTGGGCAGGGAGGCAGGGAGGCGTTTCCTGAGGCAGCTCCCTGCCTGCCCACCCACAGCGCCTCCCTGCAGCCCGCACCTCCCCAGTTACATCTATCTCAGCCAGCGGTGTCCTCTCTCACGCAAACCCCGGGTCCAAAGAGTCCCGACCACTGAACCATAACCTCCGGGAGGTCCGCTCTGTGCTTGACCTGCTTGACCTCCCGTAGTCAGGGATGAAATGACACTAAAAATCCAGGGCGGGAAGGTGGCTCCTCTCCCGCTCCTGCTGGAGGCAGGACAGCAATTTCTCTGCTGTTCATTTTCCCCGAGGACCGGGCCCAGCCCTCGGGGACACATGAGTCACTCCCAGAACTGGTTTTCGAAGCAACTGCAGGCACACTGACGGAGACTGAGGAAAGGGTGGTTCCCTCATTCCTGGCTCAG